CTTTAATTTGTCTATACGTTACGTCGCACTAAATATAGAATACCTTGTTTCGAACAGTAATTAATTTTTGTTTTATCGTCAATAATTACATGTTTTCCTTAATCCAAAAGACTAATAAATATTGTATTGACTAGTGTCAGAAATGAACGAATTTCATTTCCTCATAGGATTTGTTTTATATGAATTTCCTAATCGCTAATAGACCAATAATAAATGTAGGTTGTTTTAAAAATGATCGAAAATCTCTACAGTTTTAACTACAAACAGATATCAAACATGAGAAGCGATTAAAAAACTTATTCACTCTGGTTTTGGACCTGAATGCATAATTCATTCATGGTGCTCTATAGGGTTAGAGGCAGTGAATAAAGTTAAAGGTTTCAGCGCAAAAGCTTTCGGTGAGTCGAAATGTATTGAGCTTATTCACAAACCGGCTACTGCAAAAATATTTAAATATTAACCAAGCTTACAGCACATGTTGAAATCTATTTTCAAAATGAACAAAACTTCAGAAATCCAAAAACTGAATATCATAAGAGTTCAAAGGATATTCAGCATATATTCGTACACGTAAAATCTGAATAGTTTTAGATACTCTTTGTAGTGTGATTCGGTCCTGAAGTCTACATGATGATTTCTAACAAAAACATTGGCAAGAATTGTAAAAAGCAGAGTCTCATGCATTACTGTATCGATGAAGTAAAATTTATTTCTGTTGATCAGTTTTCAGTGAAATACAAAGTGATTTTTAAAAAAATTATCATTTACTTTTTTCTTACAATCTGTATTTGAAACTGTTGAACATTTTTTTGTTTGGCAAACTTACAAAGTAACAAGTGAAATACTGCTTTGTTTTCACTGGATGTCAAAGGAAAATAAAAAGTTAACTTTATTTGTTCACTGTATATGAATGAATGAGCTTGTGTTTGTCTGTTGTCTTTAAATCAATGTTGGTTGTAATAAATTTTAGTATAGTGATATATTTTTTTGATAAACTGCTTGTCATTTTCAATGCTTTAGAACTTTTAGTAGTTGAAATAACTGAAACCAGTCTGAATCATATTGTTTCTATTGAAAAAAAGTTAAATCTTTACGTATTCATATATAGTTCTGAAATTAAACGAATGCTTGATTAAAAGTATCAATAACCTTACTTCTCTCAATAAAAGGTTGCATTGCATGAAGTATTGTCTATAGAGTTTTGTCTAGTATGTTAATTTGGGAAAGCTTTTGAAGTGTTTTTTCATGGGAGCTAGTAGTTATTGAGAAATCAGAGTAAACAGCTAGTCTTCCATGTGACACGTTCAATTCATAAAACATACCTGTATATATTTTCAACCTATTATCTGTTTTACATCAACTGACATTAACTCTTTTCTTTTGAGTTCATACACATACGCGATGAAGATTATAGTTGTTAGATTGCAGTACCAATATCATTATTTGGTCTTCGTAAATGATCACAATTAATTTTAGTAGCCAAAACATACTGAATTATATTACCGGCCCTGATTTATATTTACACAGTGTTTGCAGTTCTGTCCAAATTTTGTTTATTCTTCTCATATCTTTCTCTATTTCTCGGCATAATGTGTACTTTGGCCTTCCACTTTTCCTTTCATCTTGAGGGTTCCTTGTGACACAGTTCGGTGCTTTTCGTACTGTGTTGCCTATACACTTCCACCGCTTCTTCCTGATTTCCTCCTCCACTGGAATCTAGTTTCTTCTCTCCCACAGTAAGTTGTTGCTGATTGTGTCTGGTCAACGAATCCGAAGTATTTTGCGAAGACAACTATTCATAAATACTTGTATCTTCTGAATGATGGATTTGTAGTGCTCCAAGTTTCCGCTCGATACAGTAGAACTGTGTTGACATTTGTATTGAAAATCCTGATTTTGGTGTTGATTGATATTTGTTTGGAGTTTCAGATATTTTTCAACTGTAGGATTGCACCCCTTGCTTTGCCGATCCGTGTCTTCACATCTGCATCGGATCCACCTTGATTCTCGATGATGCTGTCCAGATATGTAAATGTGTTAACGTCGTCGAAAGAATCTCCATCAAGCTTGATTTGGTTAGTGCATGTTGTGTTGTATCGGAGAATTTTGCTTTTTCTTTTATGTATGTTGAGACCTGCTGCTGCTGAGGCTGCTGCTACACTGGTCGTCTTCACTTTGAGTATTATCATATCCACTGGTCTAGCTAGTGTAATCGAGAACAGGAGTATGAAATTTCTTAATAATTGCTTCATCGTCAGTATGAATCCTTACAGGAAACAATTTATAATGTATACCTGACTACATTTCATATTTAATTTACATGATTTTTCTGTGATTATGAAGTTTTTCATAACCATCTGCCAATAAATATCTGTAGATTTCTGCAGATAAGCTAACTTAGGTAAATATCTTAACACAAATCAAAAATTGATTTAACTGTCAGAGTTGAATAAATCAAATCCTAACAGATGTTCATATTTCCTTTCCTTTCAAAATGAATAGACATGGTCTATTGAAATATTTACTGTCCAAGTCCACCTATTCATCAGATAAATAATTAAAAATTCGCTGGCTTAATTTGTCCGAATGATTGTTGTACATATTTTCAAATAACAAACACAACATTATTATTTACTGTGCTGAGCTCAATTCCTACCATAAACACAGTTTATGGGACACCGAAAAACATTTAATTAAAATGTTCGGACACAAGAAATATTAGATATTTATAAATTTGGTTTTTGTCTTCAACCACTGTAAGTTCACAAAATTCCATGGAGGGTAAATATTTAATTTATGTGTCATAACTGGAACATCTGTTTAGGGATGAATAGAAACAAAAATTAATAAAAACAACATTCATGGCCTTTAAGAGTCAATCATTTAATCTGATTATAAAAGTTTGTCAATGAAATTATGAACTAATCTAGATTAGATTAGGTAGTGCTGGGAGATTGTTTATCTCTACTATGAACTCATAATCATATCCTCTGAACTTGGAACATTTGATCATGCGTCCAAACGCCTAACATCTGAGCCATGAGCCGACACTCAGCGATATTAATGTTAATCAATGCTTAACATTGCGCGACCAACGTTTATTGTCTTCGGTGGGTAACTTCTTCACACCCGAGGAAAAATGTGCTTCCTGGATTCCACTGCTAGCCGCTAATAAAGATTGGTTATGTTTCATGAAAACGCCGTCTGCAGCCCCTCTGTGGCTATTGCCGGTCCCAAGCCCCAAGTAAAGGAGGATGGTTGAGCGTGCGGTTGTCATTTCCATCTCACAGAAAACTAACTCGCTAAAAAACGCTGACCGGAAAAAATTATTCAAACCATTTAAACTTTGCCCTGGGAGTGGGAAGGTCTTCTTTCAGAAGAGTTATGACATCTCATGATGAAAGCCGAGTTCCTTCAGATATCACGAGGCCGTTGCCTGTTCTGACAAGCAGAACAACCATTCTTTTAGGTACATGGAATATTCGAACAATGTAGGAGACGGAAAGACGACCAGATGCAGATGTGAAGGCGCGCATCGGAAAAACAAGGTCAATATTTCTACAATTTCTACAAGTCATAATATATAAATCTCGGTTGGGTTCTAGGTACATTTAGATGACATGTTCGTAAGACAACAAAAATGTTCGTTCTGTTTTTTATTATTGGCCACATTCTAAATAGACAAGAGATTATGAGGGGAGCTAAGAAAATGAAATCAATTAATCTTTCACCACATTCTTCCATTCTACTGGTGGTAATCGAAATGATTATTTAAGTGAGACTAGACGTTCAGAATTTATTAATAATGTTCCACGTATAATCGAAACTAAAACAAATGATACACATAGAAGTGTATATTTTCTAGCACTTATTGAAATATTGAAGAACTTGATTCGAATTTGTGCCAAATTACGTTCCATTTATAACAAAAACACAAAGTAAACGGTTTTTACAATTCTTTGGTTTTGGTTAACTTTAATTATGTTGATATAAAGATAAGGCATTTTTGTATTTACAAAGAAGAAAATCTAGCAATAACAATAAATGGTTTATAAATTAATTGAACGGAGAAAAATATTTTGTCGAGAAAAAAACCGGTCAGCAGATACTTTTATATTTCGATAGATATAAAATGAACAATGTGGCTATGATCTTTGTTAGGAAAAAGACACTGAAAAAACAAGGAAAATCGATTTTCATAAATTATTCAGTATACATATTTCATATTCAATGAGTTTTTCGAAATGTAGGTTGAGTCAATCTAATGCCTGTGATAAACTAGTATTGTAGTTGGTCAGCTGAACAGCCAATAGTCTGAAAATTAACTTTTACTATTACGCGTTACATACTAGTGTTTCTAGCAATGAAATCATACTTCACACAGTTTTATTTATAATACATAGAGAATCTATGTATTGTAAAATGCTGAATGACTCGATTTTCAGGCAGTTAGTGATAGTTTTGACTCCCGTTCGAAAGTAAGCGTCAGTTAGAAGGATATCATTATTGTCTCACAAATAGAACACTGTCTTTCAAACTAGCGTAAATAAATCAGCAATTAGCTATACAGTTATATTGAAATTTGTTTCGCACCGAAATACAATTAACTGTCCATTGGACATTCTTATGAAGTCGTGTTACACCAGTATAAATAGATTTGTTTTTAGAACACTCTTGTTAGTTGCAGAAAGAATATTTCATGGAAGTTGGATTTTTTGAAGTGATTCCCTATTCGTGTGAGATTGGCCTGTTCCCCTTATATCCGTTGTTTAAATAATGGTTTTTCTGTTCGTCTTACGATTATGTGCGTTTCTCTTCTTGTTAATTTTCAACGAAATCTACCATTATTAATGTGGTTTAAATTTTTAAAAATTATTGGGCAGCAAAGTAAAGTACTTTTAACTTTTGTTTCATTAACTGTCGATATTATCAACATTCAATTTATTATTTTAATAAAACACTGATAATGTTTTTTCCTTTCCAAATGTAATTTCTGTTAGGCTTTTAAAGTTCACTCATCAAATCATTTACTAATCGAAATGGCTGAACACACAGAAGTATAAAGACAATGATTTTTGGCATAGAAATATTGTTAAATTTATTTTTATTAAAAACATTCACTGCTAATGGATTACAGTGTATATTACCGTTCAATTTATCAACTCACTCCCACGATACTCTTTTATCAAGATTTTCAAGAGAAATTAAATCTGTCATATACATCGGTAAGCTGAAAATGATCATTATCATCAATTAATTCATTTTTCATTTGGTTATTCATGATAAATTGAAGTAATCAAAATTTAAGTAAATTTTTACACAGATTTTTTTTTGAATAAAATGTGTTGGTGAACATGAATGAATAAATGTTCATATTTCCTAAGTGTATACAACCTGAAATTCAGTTGCGTATCGGAAATCATATTTCACTATGGGAGATTCTATGTTTGAGAATATACTTCAAGATATTTTAATAAGCATTACAAATCGTTTGAAATCAGTTGAACTGATTCAACGTGCTAATTTAAACATTTTTGATTGTATTTATACTGATTTTGACATCACATTACTGAATACTAAATGAACTTTGAAAAGACCTGATTGCAAACAGAGTCGTATTCATTGAAGCTGCTCATTAATTATATTTACCCATACATTTTCAAACCTTAAATTGAAAGATAAAAATTACAGTTGAATCTATTGATCGAATACGATAAGAAATGATGATAGATAGCTAAGTGAGAGCTATTCACACAACTTGACATGGATTTAATATCTAAGAGGATAGAATATCCTTAATTTTCCAAAAGATTAGCATGTATAAAATCCCTTCACTGAGAACAATAAGTACCAAAAATCGAGAGAATGATTGTATACTATTACGCCAACCAGTTCGACTAAATGTTAGTACAATTAATTCTGTTTGACATTGTTGGTGACCACTGCTGAGAAGTGCTAAACCAGATAAAAACATATTTCCAATGTTTTGTTTCCTGTAATTCGATAGTCATTATTAGCTTAGGATGGAAAATATCTATGAACCATAAAAATTTTATACAAAACTTTTAACTGTTAAATTACTTATGACACGAAAATAATTTAAATTGCATTTAATTTTGATGTAAATACATCATATACATGTTTAAATCAGCCTTCAGTTGAACGTCTCACTAATGAGCACTATGCGCCAGTCATTGTGTTTAGATCTATTAACCTGACTGGATTCCACCGACCATAGGTTCATCTTGGTGACCAGTTTGCATAACTTGACATTCAACTGCACTTTATTAGTAGATGATTAGAAACAATCAACAAGAATAACTGGAGGACTGAGAAGTTACTAAAGACTGATGTATAATATATTAGTTCGCCCCTCATAATCATATTTTACTAATCAGAATCGCTATAGAATAAATTTAACACAACTTTCGAACTAGCGCTAACCATGTAAAACCTAATTTAAAAAGCGCATACTCTTATAATCTTTTAATTTTCGCAAAGCATCATTTATTCAAAACAAAAAGGATGTCAGGCAAGGTTGATTACTCTCACCCTTTCTCTTTCTCCTGGTGATCGACTGGATTATGAAGACGTCGACATCTGGAGGGAAGCACGGTATTTATTGGACAGCTAGGACGCAGCTGGACGATCTGGACTTTGCAGATGACCTGGTTCTTCTGTCTCACGCGCAACAACAACTGCAAGAGAAGATAATCAGTGTAGCAGTAGCCTCAGCAGCGGCAGGTCTCAACATAAGTAAAAGGAAAAAAAGATTCTACGATACATTACAACATGCACCAACCAAATCACTCTTGATGGAGATGCCTTGGAGGAGGTTAACATCTTTACATATCTGGACAGCATCATCGATAACCAAGGTGGATCCGATGCAGATGTGAGGGCGCGGATCGGCAAAGGAAGGGCTGGATTTCTACAATCGAAAAAATATCTGGAACTCCAAACAACTTTCAATCAAAACCAATCTACTGTATGGAGCGGAAACATGGAGAACTACCAAAGCCATCATCCAGAAGATACAAGTGTTTACTAACAGCTGTCTACGCAAAATACTTCGTACTCGTTGGCCAGACACTATCAGCAACAACGAACTGTGGGAGAAAACAAACCAGATTCCAGTGAAGGAAGAAATCAGGAAGAAGAGGTGGAAGTGGATAGGACACACACTACGAAAAGCACCGAACAGCTTCACAAGACTAGCCCTCACATGGGATCCTCAAGGTTAAACGAAAAAAGGGAGGCCAAAGAACACATTACGTCGAGAAATAGAGAAAGATAAGAGAAGAATGAACAGAAATTGGACAGAACTGGAAAGGGAAGCGTAGGACAGAGTTTGTTGGAGAAAACTGGTGAGCGGCCTATGTTCCGTTGGGGGTAACAGGCGTAAATATAAAAAAATGTATGTTAAAAAGGATGTAGTGTTTTTGCAATTCTCTGAAGGTGCACAAACGTTTACCGGAATTTGTTTTCCTTCTTATGGCGAACAGTATAAGACACAGTGCAATTACAATGTTGTTATACATGTAGACTACACTAAATTTTTTAAATATAAAAAATAATCTAAAGGTCAATCAAATGCAATTGATGGAAAAGATAAATATGGGCGAAAAGTTACAGAACAAAAACCATCTATGTTGTATTTGTATACAGCTACGTACAATAGTTTTATCAGAATTTGGGTAGAATAATAAAAATGAAAAAAGGAAACAATAAAAAATGATCAATATTTGTGTTAAGGAAAATTGATTAACTAGCTTACGAAACAGCTTGATATTTAATGGTTTTTAAAAACTTCATTAATATTCTTTTTTGTCAGTGCAAACACATTTCAAGTCAGAAAAAACTTACAGTAAAAAGTTTCTTGGATTTTTCTGCAAGTTTTTCATGTTTTATCTTTGCTTCGTGCCGTTAGATAACCTATTTGATGAGCATGTTTACACATTAGAATCAAGAATCAATTATTGTTAGACAAACATTAGAAACCTGGAAGCGCTGAATGGCCAATTCGTCCTGATATGGCACTCATAAGCATTGCCCATTCGCGACTCGTGCTACTCGCAAGATTCGAGCCCAGGACCTGTCTGGCGTGCGAATACCTAACCTCTGAACTACTGAACCGGCATCCAACGGCGTTAGTATCTAAGTCTGATCAATTTAAGGTTTTGCACAATCCTCCATATTTAGTAATACACAGGTTTTCAAATCTTTTTATTTAATCACAGTGCGGTACATTTTGAAGGTAACCGACTCAGGTTAATATATTGCTCTGTAGTTGCTAGTTTTATGTACGTTTTGTTCATTAACCATATATTCGCAATACGCTTCTCAACACATATATATCTGAAGTTAATTTTTCTGTGTAAACGTTTATTTGCATGGAGATATTAACCGACACTCGTTTTCTAAAACAACAGCCTCTCTTTTCGATTGATATTGATATTAAAGACATCGTAATATTGAATATTTGTTTGTTTTGCTAATTTAACGAAGCTGCAATAATTACAGGTGCTTCTATAATTCAGCGCACATACTATAGCGTCCGTTACCTCAGATCGAGTAGGATCTCAGTTTTTATCAACAATATCTTGACTGACTTTTACCACCGTTTGATGAAATAATATTTAGAAGCAATCCTATATCTTTGTCAAAGATTCTATACATAACGTTTCAATGTATCATGTAGTGTGACTGTAAGTTTGCTCCCCGTAGTTAAAAAGCAGGTGAAACTTGGATGTAATTAAATGAAATTCCGGTGTTTAGTAAATTATTCATCAATATAATAAACTTCTTCATCATTACATAAATATATTCGTTTCGAATGTATCATTTGTAGTTTCCCATGCATTGCGTAAAAATGATAAAAATAACATTAATTTTGATTGTGTATGAATGAATCTTTTGTTAAGCTCTTCGATAGATGCAGGATTTTTATCTTTTCAGGAGTTATTCTCATTGATGATGACCGAGAAATTGAAAAAGCATTTGAAAATGGTGTTCAAGCCGCTAATGAAGTCCTAAGTCAAAGTGGAACCTTATCATCTTATCAAATAGAACCTATTATCCAATTTGTACCCAAAGATAATGTTTTTGTAGCCACACAGCAAGGTAAGCCAAACTACTTCTATATTGTACACTTTTTTTTTATAAAAATTGTTTTTAGAAATTATTTCGTTATTATTAAACGTACATTGAAATTTGAAAAAGATTTTTTTTGTCCAATTGTATTGTGAAAGTTAATTTAATATATACACCAAGTTATTGCAAGATCAACTTCAAAATAATAAGCTTTTTGTGAACTGGTTTTCAGATTGTAGAAAGATAAGTAATGCATTTTATAATGAAATCAATGCATGTTTGATAATACAGATAATTATCAAATATAGATCTATGAAAGTATAAAAGCGAAGTGAGAAACTTTAAAGATCTAATGCTAAGGCTGAAAAGAATACATGCACAACGATTTTTTTTTACTATGGTCACTGAATGAAACTTTTCGAAATTTCAGTTTCTGTGGAAAGCGAATCTTAGGATATCGTTTTTATTGCACATAGTTAAGATGCAATGCTACTACTTGTCAACCTCATACTACTAGCATTTTTATTTCACAGCAATTCTGGAGTCTAAATGGCAACTTTAGACTTTATTATATTTACCATAGTTCAACATAACATTTCTTGTGTTAAATTATAATTGAAAATGTGTTGCAGTTGAAAGGTATTATTATCACTTGTTACGTCATATCTTTGGTCGTATATTTTACATTTTACTGAAAATATTGTTAGGTTAAGTTACGTCGCTGCCTCGACAAAAACATAGCTGTTACTTTTCCGGCCGTCAAATATCAAACAAAAAAGTCTAAAATAGGAAATAGTCAAATGCTCTATTTCGAGCCGACATTTTTTTACTTACGTTTACGAATTAAGCTTTCAAATGATTTCAACTTTCATAATGATATTTAGCAATGTTTCAAAATTACGCATGCATCCTGGAGACTTTATTTATGGAAAGAATAATTTTAAACAGATGGATTAACCTGAAATAATAGATAACTCGATTGCTGAAAAGCTGAACCTACAGTTCGTGCAAGATGATTTATGTTTAGATACGAGATCTGAAAATATCCTGGTTAGACATCAATCACGAAACTGGATTATAACTAAATAATCAGCAGTTTACATACTGAATTACCAAAGACTTCTGACAATCGACAATAGTACCAATCTTTTACTAGTTTTAAACAGTTGTAAAATGTTACAATAATACCTACAAAACTGCCATAAATATTACATGTTTGCTTGTGTCAGTAATATCTGTTTATCATATTTTGAGATGCTGGAGAAAATTTGTAGGTCGGGTAGATGATTGTGGTGGTGTTTCGTCCTCTGAGCTGTATGTTTTGGTTGTGGAGCACTCATTGTTCTTCTGAACAATATCATCAACACAAACTTCAGTTAGATGTCAGATAGATCAAAACCACGACCTTCAGTCTCGCCTAACTTCTCAACCACAAACAAGCATCCAACGATGTTAATCTTTAACTTCAACCAATCCACCATATTTGATGATTATCATCTATTGGCTTCGATGAGTGACCACCTCACGCGCGACACAACTGAACTCCATTAGTCATTGCTTCTCACTAGAATTCCGAGAATTATGTCAAGAAGCCAATCTTAAATAAGCACTCCGTTTGTATGGTCGGACACGAGCACTGTTTCTGAGTCACGTAACACGATAAAACTACCATCTCAATGGTGGTCTAACACATTCAGTAGTTCATGATTTCACTGAATCCGAAGTTAGTCGTATTATAAAAGAACATGACAGTAAAAACATGGTTTACATAGTTTATGATTTATTATCATCTTTGTAATACCAATTATAATATGTGTACTGCGAATCGGCATATTAATTAAATGCTTACATGACTTCGTTAGAAGTAAATTAAAAGCAACTGTTGCATAAATAAGTTAATTGACAGGACTGTGAGTTACTTCCGATTCAATTAAATAAAATGATTATTTATTACTGTCAAGCAAGTACATACATACCTACATACTTTTTCAAAAATATCATTCATGTAAATTCTTGTTTGAAATGTATAGTAGATAAATTGCAATAAATTATCCTGATTTCAATTGTTCTACTTCAGTTTACTTCTTCAAATTGGTTTTTAACAAAATGTAATTAGATGCATAGATAATCAATTTTCTACTATGGTACATTACATTGTAGAACGTTGGATTAAATTTTGGCATGAATTGTTTTTGTTAAAACATGTTTCACACACTTAAGTTTGTATTTCATTGAGATCAGGGAGAATATGGTAAAATATTGAAAAGTATAAAAGGCTAATAAAATGTTACTATGGTTAGTAATATTAGTGATGTGGCAACTTGGTTGACAGAATTTTACAGTACTAACTAAATATGAAATTTACAGTTTAGTAACAAATGAAAGATATCATTTTTTTATCCTATATGACAACAAAGTTTTATACCTTCACCAATGATCGGAAACTCATTCTTTTTTAAGAACAAAATTTACAAACTTTATTCGATACAATATACGACTTAACGAACTCAAATTATAAAAAGTGCATGATCAGTTGGTGACAGTAAGTTGTCAATTTTCATATTTTCTTGTTAATACAGTGACAAAACGCAACAACAGACAATGTTTTTAATATTCAATGATGGATTGAGATTATCCGATAAGTAGATGTCACAGTTAACTATATCCATCACTAGTAGGCTTAATTTTTGAATGTTCTCTGTCTTAGGCACTGATTTTAAAACATTAGACTAATAGATTGTACCAATAACTATATGGTCGATTTCTTATTTACATTGTACACTTAAACAGGCAGTTCATTGTTGTCGTGTTTTAACAGTAATAGTATTTGGAAGCTAAACAACACCATTATTTAGTACAAAATGATATGATTTATTTTATTTAGAAGAATATAATGAAGTCCAATAGTATTTAAATTGCGATCTTGTGTCGACAAAACACTAACGACCACTTACCAGTTTTAGTCAATGCGTCATGTGATTTTGTGACAATAATTTGAAGGAGATTTCTGTTGTTACCTGATGTCGGCCATCGAAACAATATAAAAACAGGGATAAATGAGGAATTCTTTCGGTAGACAGAGGGACACTTACCAACGTCTAAACAGTCACACATTGATACCAAGTTTTGCGATCCAGTTATCATCAGCAGCATTATCAGCATATAGGATTTTAAGTTCGAGAAGATAGATATGAATGAGTAGATAATTTCAAAATTTAAAATAAAATGATTAGTAAAATGACTACTTAACGCTGGCATAACGAAATGATAAGCAGAGATTGATTAAAATTGAAATCAGTTGGTGATTTGATGGAGTCACATATAATTTCCAATTTTGGCGAAGAAATACAAGTCTTAAGTAAATTGCAGTTTTTTCCAGCCATTGGGTTTGAATAAAAGATAGATCAGTGTACATATATTTTACTCATATTTAAAATGTATTGCAGTGCAATGTATTGTGTATTTCAGACTGACCACATTCGTATTTATTCAACGTCAATTAAACGAACAATGGAAAACCAAAGATCAAGTTTCTGTTGAAGCGGAATTATGATTTTAGGAGCAAAATAGAGAAAACGGTCATCCTTGTAATTTGAGATTGATTCTTCTGGGATTACTTCGTGTGAGAAACACACCAGACGTATAGCAACGTGTATTCAGGACGCTCTCCGTTTGGCCAGCTCTCCATTTAAGAACTATATGTGCACCCATAAATAGAGACTAGATTCGTGAGAGGATTCTCAAAATTCTAGTGAGAAGCAATGACTAATCAAGTTCACTTGTGTCACATGTTAGGCAGACACTCATCGAACACAATGGATGATGATCATCAAATAAGGTGAATTGGTTGAAGTTAAACATTAACATCGTTTGATGCTGGTTTGTGGTTGAGAAGTTAGGCGTTCGATTGCGAGACTGAAGGTCGTGGGTTTGATTTGCTCTTCTGAGGTCGTGGATGCGCAATGCTGATGAGTCCCACATTAGGGCGAAATGGCTACCCAGTGATTTAAGTTTGTGATTTGTGTCTAACATTGATTCGTCACGTCAATGAAAAGTTTTTCGGCTTTCATTTCTGACTCAGTAATGAATATAAGATTATCAGCTGTCATCTAGGTATTTCTGAAAAATAGAGTTTCCATAAACGTCGAACTTATTAAGTATTTTGATCATTTGCAGTGTAAATATCCTGGTAAATTAAACTTTACACTGAACAATAATCTGTCTCATTTGTCTTCGCTAAAATCATTCTCCCAACTTCTCATGCTTTTTCTTAAGTAATTTATAGAAAATCTATGGGAGTTGAGACGAAATCATATATTTATGCAAGCAACTTTGAGGTGAAAAATATGATCATTGCTCATCATGTAATTTGGATGAGTTTTATCAAAATGTAATCTAGAATATCAAATGCATAGGTCGTCTGATCAAAGTAAATCTAGCTTCTATTAGCATCTGTAGACACATCAATAAGTTTATTCACATTTCAAACTTAATTTCCTGGAGGCATTTTTTACAGTACTCTTGACAAAATAGTCAACTTGTTTAAAATGTAGGATTTATTCATTGTTAATTTGTTTAATACAATTAGACTGCACATTACATTATCTATGTTTAAATCCATCCCTTTATTTAAAGCATGCAAAATTTTGGATAAAGGTATAATTGCCTTATATGGACCAAGTTCAACATCTTTATCACAAGCTTTGTTGTCTTTGGCCAATCGATTTGGCCTACCGTATGTCGAAACACATTGGAGTATGGTACCAAGAAAAACTACTTATGCCATACATTTACATCCAAGTATTGAAAGTTATGGATTAGGTTTATATGAATATTTAACTCAGGTGGAAAAATGGAAACGTATGACACTCATCTACAATAAACCTGAAAGTAAGTTTAGGTCATACATTATTAAAACTAATTAGACTTGCAGTTATTTTTACAGAATATATTTGTAGTCCTTTAGTGATGCACTCATCAACTCGCTTTTAACTAACCTGATTAAATGCAGTTCAATAAGTACATTTACTAACCAGTTGCATGTGTATATCTCGTACTGACTTGTCGACTTTAGTCTCGACAATCAAGCTTAAAATCTGTTTCCGAATAAGCATAGTTGACTCAAAAATAGGATAAACATCAGACAGTCTCTTTCAAACAAAATTTCAAGCAACTAATATCTTAGAACAAAATGTTTTGTATTTCAGGACGACTAAAACATTTTAAAATATTTGGCAGCATTTGATTCAAGATAAAGCTTATACTGAACGTCTGACAATTTTATATTCAGAAAAAAATGTTATATTCGATTAAGAAAGTTGTATTGCGAAAGTAAACGCTGTATTACTCAACAGTAAAGGTTCAATTTCAGTGAGAATTATCATGCCATTCATTCAATGTTATCTTTGAAACGTTTACGTCAGAATTGAAACTACTATCATGACCAGTAATTTCAAAACATCTCCTTATTTTGATATGTATTATATTAGGTTTGCTCAAATTTGCCAATTTAGTAAATAATTTTGAAGGAATATTAAAAATCAAATCATGGGATGAAAATACAAGTGGTGCTAGAGCAATGATGGCAGAACTAGGGTCTGGTTTGGAGAAAAATTTTCTTGTGGATATTCCTAGTTGGCAAGTAACCAATTTCTTAGTTATGGTAAGCTAACATTTCACTCGAACTGATTAATTTTTTTTAAAAACTTTTAACTTGGCTCAAATATTCATTTAGCTCTCGAAGCATATAATAAATCTTTGCATCTAGACACAAAATCTCGCTTTAAAACTGAAATTCATTCCTGTTGTAATATTCGCCCGAACAGTGCAATCAGAAGAGTTACGTTTAAGGAGAATAGTAGAGAATTTAAGTGGTCGATTCAAATGAATATTAGCACATAAATCTAGATGTTTTTAGAACAAAATGTATCATGTAGTGATATTCTGCTGTCAGTTTTGATTACGACGACGAATAAAAACGTTTTAGTGGAGTTTATTTCTCAGAGTTGAAATGTTTGGTTGTGAAGCTTTCATTGTTTTTGTGAATAACATCAAGGGTATAAACTTCAGGTAAATTTGAAGTATATAAATTTATCAACATATGATTTATAGCTTGTCCTGTGCATCTCGATCGACGAGTCAGGACAGTCTGTGAATCGTATGTTGATAAATTCGTATACTTCACATCTACCTGAAGTTTGTGCCTTTAATATTATCCAAAAAAACAATGAAAGCTTCACGACCACCTGAGTTACAAATTTTCCTTACCACTTCAGAGAAAGTTTTCCATTTGACTACAACCAAACGTAAGGTCAATGTGAAAGTGCATTATTGATTCCCCTAAAATGTGAACAGTCTTCAAAATATAAATCGATCGGAATCAAATTCTAAACTTTGTTGCACTCAATATCAAATGAGTGTTAACGTACATTACCATCTGACTACCAGCATTTTTCACTTTTCAACACTTACTGAAACTTAATGACATTAAAGGAATATCTATTCTACAGAGCAACGGAAATTCGTTTCTACGAGCATGTGGGGAACTCAACTTCAGGCTTAAAATATTTGAATGTGGTAACTTGACACAGTCCACCATAATGCCGTACCACTTGTACTTGTATGAGTTATACTATAACTACGCAATACTAAAAAAGCGGAGCAATAAAACAGTTAGTTAGTTATAAATCATACTTACAGTTCTATTAACTTTATTGTTCATCATTAAGAATTTTGATTATTTTTATTTTATCTCTTATCTTTGCATTTTTGATATCTTCTAAGATTTTCTAAAATTTCCATATAATATAAATTATCATGCATATATTTTGTCTTACAGGCTTACGTGCATAATATGACCGGTTATCAGTATACATTTATATTCACAGATTGGGTAAGCGCATATTATCGATTTATATAAACATTCCAGCGATAAACTGAACGAAAAGTATGAGGAACTGTTTGACTCAATATTCTTTATTAAGTAAAACGTTTAGATTGTAGTTACTGTTAAATAAATAATGTTTAGAAAATGTGGTTGCTACATACATAAATACGTAGTACGATATGTTCCAAATTTTACTACTTAGCAAACTTTTAATCTTGACAGATCGACAAGTGACTGGCACATAAGTAATGTTATATATTAAGTTAATTCGCAAAATGTAAAACGTCTCCTGAAATCTTATGCATTGCAATGAAATCACTCATGTCTCGCTGTAAAATTCTAAACACTTATCAACAGCTCATTCCGTTTAATATCTAATGAATGTCTGAAATTAACTTCATTACTTTTTCAAAAACTTAATATGTGACGGAATGAAACAGTAGGTTGATGACATTCACTGAGTAAAATTTATGAACGAAACCACTTTCAATTGGTGAGTGGATATTTTCTACAATGTTAAAAAGCATTTTACCAAATGGTCAGTCGTCTTTGAGATTATTGTAAAACACTTAGTAGTTAGGGTCCTCTGGCACTTAATGTATCGTAGTTCGTTACGTACAGGAAAATCTTTCAAATCTAATACCAACTCAAACTAAAATGATTCATGATCTGCAATAATTTGAAGGTTAACCTGCTGATGAATTATTGTATTAATAAAGCGAGTTATTCTTTCTGGTGGAATGTTTTTTAAACTTCAGCCTAAATTTTGTGCTTTAACGAATAAAATGAAATATGATAAAAATACAAACAAATGATTCATTATTAAGAAGCCATCATCGTAAGGTCACTGAATTTCTGAAAAGCAAATTAGATTATGATCGACCTTCACAAGAAACAACAATCGTATTTCATGAAAATATTTTGCAATATAATTATTCTTCTAGTAAACTTGAAAAACGAAATACTCGCATCTAAGACAAATACAATCCTAATAAAAGTTTCCACAGCTTTAAAACACCTTGTCAACATCTCTTAAAGATATAATTTGAACAAAAACTCCTAGATATTTCTAGAATCATTCAAAACGTAAACGAAATAATCGGTTCATCTTTCTATTACATGTGTTTGGTTATCCGAAAACGATTACTTGATACACAAGAAAGTATATCATATCGATCACGTAGAAGTTATACCTAATACTTATCAGAAACTGATTGGTATAGTTACCAGTCATTTGCGATGTAAACTTAATTATTACCTGACAAACCAGGTTATAATTGGCCATGTCATCAAAACTCAGTGGTTATTTCACGAACAAAGAGTTGATCTGGTTTGAGATGTGGGCGAAAATATTGATGAAATAAACCACTCCACATCTAAAACTATCTATTATGGTACTGTATTTCCCAAAGCACACTCTAAACTAAACACTGCATTTAACCAGTGACAACAATCCATGAAGTAAAAAAAAAACTTAACTGGCTATTCACATTTCGCCAATTATAATCTTTATTAAGAAACATTAAGCAAATACTTATTAAACCACTCATACAATTGTAGCATGGGATTAGTAAAATTTTCACTTATTCAATAATAGTCATTTATTTAAGTGGATTAATTGAAACCAGTTGGTAATGACATTTTTAAAATAAAAATTAAGCCTAACCACCAACCATTAAATAGTTACGTGATGGAAAATAATTATTTGGATTGGTTTTTGTTATGACATACAAACTATCTATCGATACATTATGAACATCTAACAAAATAGCTTTAGTTCATGGAAATTTGTTTTGCCATAAATACTTTACCAAACAAAACCGTCCTTAAAAGAAAAAAATTGAAAAATTCCAGATCAATAGGTAGGTAAGCTGAAAAATTTCACATTAAATTTATGACATACCAGTGTCAGGACTGTTTAAACTAATAGCATTCTAGATAATGGCTATAGACTATGACACGGGAAACTTTTAAATAATACTATTGGGAACGCTGGAGTTAGTAACAACCAACCATATTCATTGGAAAATTGTTTCTTCTAACAACATCTTTCTCATTGTCTAGTATGTATGAATTTGGTCGAAATTGGCTTTCCTTTTCTCAAGCGTTGGCTCTTAAATATTGAATGAATGAGCGTACGGTCAGGTGACTATCAAACATAATCATTTTAATCTAAGCCAAATTCGAAAACGATAAAATTTGAACATGCATGAACAATGGGATCTTCATTATAAACTAAATTCATTATACTTGAAAGCTTCTCATCAAGTAGGAGGGTATTAGTCAGTTTATTATTTTTGGAAACGGTACATATGAAAGTTAGTAAAAAATAAGATAAATTATTCGGCTCAGCTGTTAGGATTGATCAGCATCGATAAGCTGAAGATAAAGTGCAATAAGGAAAGGAGTGAAACAAATACTAATTAAGAGGTAAAGTGAAAAAGAATTTAACAAATGAGTGACTTTTGAAAAATAAGATCGGATAGATTATGTATGATCATGACAATGAAAGGCTTCCTGTTCATTCTTTCTGTATACAAATGTTTGATTCAAAGTATTTGATGACAGTGGTATTAGCTGAACGAATCAAGAGTGGTTTATGATGCTTGCTTATGATGTTGGCTGCTTTCATGGTAGTAACCATAGAGTTAGTGTTAAGTCGTCTTTAATTGTACTCATGGTAGTTAATGATTGTTTGGAAAAACGGTGACCCACAGGTGTTTGGTTTGATATTTTTCCTGAAATAACTTTAGGGATGCCCGAATATGAATTGTTTCTTTATTTTTTTTAGGATATTACAACATTAGATTTAAGTGCTTTCAAAATTGATGTGGGCGCAAGAATTAAAGCAATTTCAATCATTCCGAAAATTACTTCATTAGACATAAATAGGGCACGCCAGCCAGAAATGCCACTTTATAAGAAAACTCTTGAAGATATTGTTAGTTCAAAAGATTTATCTAATAGGAACCCGTCTGTAAGTTAATACTGATTTTTTAAACAGCGTTTTTAATGTTTATTCAACAAAATCTATGAAAGCGATTTATAGAATCATTGAAAAATCAATCCATAAATTCTATTTGACGTTCGATGTTACATACTGCAAAAGTAATCACAGAATTAACTTCACTGGAATGTATGGAAACGGGATAATGTTATCAACCGCTGATATTTTAACCTATGTGGATTCCTGTCATAATTAGGCTGCAAAATATTTGGAAATAAAACATCAGTCATCATCATTAAAAACAGTTTCGCACCTACTTATTGATTCGTTTTTTTTTGCTTTTACAATTAAGAGTTAATACATAAGTGAAATTAATTAGTAATCAAAATTCAATTCATGTAAATATGAGTTATTTTGTAATGGCCCAAAAAATTTACTCCAACAATATAAGTTCGCCTAAACAAATTTCACTTCAATGAAGAAGAAGAATCTATTCAACACACAGTTGATTTTATAATAATTTTAACTACTATTCCTTGAACTAAGTTTACACCGCTGGCTAAAATCGTTGTCTTGGTGTTTCAAAACTGCATTATCACTTTGACTGAAATGTAACACTCCAATAAACTCTGACAATCAATGGAAATTTGCATAATGACAAAATACTCATATGTTGACAACAACTGATTTGTACAATAACAATTTGATCAGATTGCCCATCTCTGCGTTATAATAAAATGAAGTGATCAGTCAATAAGATTACTATGAACAAATTATGCATATAACAGTGAATTACTATAAATTTAACTACGTTTGTAAATCTTGACATTGCGTGTTGATTATAGAAACTTATATTGGTTTTAAGGTCAAATAAAGTATAAAGATTATTGATCGAAATTCGCACCCAGAGAGATTATGTAGGGTGATAAAAGATTACTGAATTCCTGGCAAAATATAAATACAGCAAGAGGCTAAATTTCCAGTGCAATTTCCAAGTACAGGACCATGACAAGTTTGCTAAATTCAACACACCATAATATTGACACAAGACTAATATATAAAATGAAGTAAATGGGTTCATTTCTTTAACAAAATTAATGATTACCTTCTTTACTTTCGTACGTGGTTAAGGTTGGAAGATGGATGGAATTAAATTTCTAATGAAAATATATTTTAAAAATGAACTCGAAATCCTGCTTTGCAGTAGACCCTCTTCAATGATAATTTCCATTGAGTTTACTTTTTGAAATGATCGATCGATATTTTGCAACAGCACATTGTTGAAAATCAGTTCGGATTAGGAAGATTAAGATAAAACAAAAACTGTTCATGATAGCCCTTACACGTAAATCTATCGAAGCTTCTCCAATTCAGTAGAATTTTGTGTTGCTTTGAATTTGTTTGCTATATATTCATTCTTTTTATTATCAATATATGGATCAGCATATCTTGCTAAAATGTACATTTTACTTTTTGATTTAATTCTCAATTAGATTCAATTCAGTTTAATTTACGATAGCCTTATACTTCTAGCACATGGACTTAGCACAGTAACAAGGACAAGGCCATTATTACCACAGAAGTTAAATTGTGAACGCCCACCAGGCCTATGGCCTCTTGGATTAAGTCTGATCAATGCAGTTAAATCGGTATGTTTCGTTTAAAAAATCAATAGCCAGAGGAGTTGGCTAGGAGTTAGTTGTAACATTCTGATTTTAATATATCTGTAAACCGTACACCTATAGTAAATAACTGATTATTTATGATCAGTTGTGAGCGGTACTTAGTTACATAAAGATTAACTTTAAGTTCATGTAAATAGAAACCATGGAAACCCATGTAATTGTATGGTATGCAACTTCTTATTGATGAAATTTATACACTTACCTACGCTTACTTTCTATGACATGAGTTGCACGATTCCGCAACTGCTTTATACTAAGAGAAAAACTGTGCTAAAGTCAGAAACATGTTAACCCGATAGGAAATCTAGTTATAATAAACAGAACGTATTCCCCAATTAGTAAGCAGTTTTAATTTTTTCTTTATCAGCCGATCGACAGCCTATCTTACCAAATAGATGAATAGTTTAAAACCTGCCAGGATTCTTGCGGTTTAAACAAATAGATTTCTTTATGCATACAAACGGCACTACCGAAAGATCACAAAACGCTCTCAAAAGGTAAATAATGATGGTATATTCAAACGAAATTTACAGCATGACAGGCGAAAACCAAACAGCATCGAGCGGTTGAGTGACGATCATGATTTAACCTAAACAATTAGATTTACGTCTAGCACGTCTTGTCTTTGTATGTCACACCTGTTGTCGGATCTTTGAAATATAATTATAGTTCACTTAAACTAGAATTTACAATCGTTTCAATACAATAAAATAGAATAGACACGTATGGTTATTAACATATTATGACTTTTCTAGTAAATCATGTTACGAAATGTCTGTTAGAAATTGTTAATCAAAACCCAATCAACTTATTGATACGTAATTATAATCAGCGATCAAAGGAACATTTAGAAAATCTCAGTCACGATACAGTTATTATGTAAATAATAAGTATTCCTGTGTTTCGTTATGATTACCAACTGGATGATAGTGGCTCTGCGAATGACAAATTTGAAAATGGAGGAAACACTATGAGACTGTAAGACTGAAGATACAAACTAGTAACTGCAAGTGTTATTGATATTTTGGGTTTTGATCAGTTTGATCATCCTGATAGTAAATCTTCATAAGGCTATCAATAGTATCTGCAGAATATGTTAAATATGGTTAAACTCTACCGGTTATTGCTTCTTATTAGAACTCTGAGAGTTTCCTTACGAATCTAGTCACTATTGAGCGCGTCTATAACAGAACTAGTAATGTTCATTCACAATGGAATGACGTGGCTACGTAATGAATACTAACATCCGTGCTTAATTCATCAGTCAGTAAATAATAATCATTCAGTTGTTTTCTCATAGATTAGACATCATCTATTTTATATTATGCTACTATTAATTGTATTCATTCTCTATTTACTTTGTGATATCAGCAGACAGAGAACACAAGATTATGTACGACATTAATACCGTATATGGTGTTGACTATTACTATCAGAAAAGAAGTTGCTTAATTATCTTGGCATAGAATACAAGATATTTTGTTTCTATGTAAATGGGATGACAAAATCAACTCGTACAGCTTATATTTGGATCTTATTTTTCGAAATCTTATAGGTAGCATCAGAAACTGTTCATGGTTTGACAAGTCCCTTCCGTTTTGATAAACACGGTTTAAGAACATTATTCGATTTAACTACTCTGGAACTAACGCAAGGTGGATTTAAGCCTGTAAGTAACGAAATATTTCAGCTGAAATGTGTTATCGTATAATTCCTGATATCTGATAACAAAATAATTGAAATTCATGAAACATCTTTTTGACTTTCCAGAGTTTTATCCGATTTTCAAGGTTAAAAGACATCAAAGTGTACTACGTACCAGAAGCATGTATTTGGAAATAGTTATTGCGTATATGTTCATACAGTTATCAGATATGCATCAGGAGTTCAGTTGTTTCTGTAAATTTTTTTATTACACCGTGTGGTTGATATGATTACTACTTACAACACTTGTTTAACCTCTTCAGACAGGGAACAAAATAATGCAGTAGATTTGAATCCCTAACTGAGAATTTGGATTTTCAAGAATGACTTATTCATGAATAAATACTGAGAAACTAAGTATAATGTTTTGTTGGGATTGCTGTTACGAAATGAGTATCATTAAGCAATCTACTAGATAAAGAACGTTTTTATTTATGATTGGATGGACAGTTACATTTTTTCCCGACACAAATCACTGGTAATATTATTCTATTGAAAAAATAATAATTTCAGCTGCAGCGTTTATTCTGGTCTAACTTCACAGTGCTTGACTGCAAAATTCTACATTAAGAGATCTTTATTAATGTTTATTTTATCGTTTGAAAATATTGGCTCCAATGATAAAAACATTGAATTATGCATGACCACAAGTGCATAAAATACCAACTATGCCAATCGAAATGTTTATAATTTCGTTCTTCTTATTACTTATTCCTCGAAATTTGTTTAGACTGGAGTATGGAATATAGATGAACGAATGAAAGTTGCAAAACAACCTGCGATCACGTTACCGAAACAGTTACCAAAAATCAAAGGTGTAGTCTTAAAAGTCACAACTATACCTGTAAGTTTTTGCTAAATAATAATATTAATAACAATTATGATTAGTTGATTATTATTTATAGGTATTAATATATATACATTTATATTTATATATAGCGACAAGTAAATACAAACACCCAGGGGAACGTATCGATGTTTCGTAAGAAGAAAGCAATTTGTTTCACTGTAATAATACAGTAGTCATATTTTGATTGTTTCAAATTTTCTAGGATGCTCCATTCATGATCCCAATCAAGTTTGATGCATATGATAGACCATTAGGTACTCCTGATGCATGGATGGGATATTGCATTGATCTGCTGAATCATATTGCATCAGATGTTGGCTTTAATTACACAGTTCACATAACACCTGATCGACAATACGGATCAGGTATAGATGTTGGCAATGGAACTATATTTTATAATGGTATAATGGGAGAATTGATCAGAGAGGTAAGTGTGATAAGAAAGGTTTACAATTGGTTTTATTTGATTATTGGTTATGGTTATGAAAGCATCTTAAAAAAAAGTAAGTAAAATTGTATTTATATTTGTTCCACACACAGTTTATTATTTCTGTTGGCATGAATCAAATAAGATAGTATCTGTTAGCTTTACATCATATACGTTAAGTAGCATACTGTTGCACAATTTGATAGTAATTTTTATGACAAAGCAGTAAACTAAAGAAACATTGTAATTCTAAGAGAACTGAAATAATGTTCATTAAGCCCCAGTTATCCCAGAACTGTATGCTTATGGCTTCACTCTAAAGTTTCATTACATTGGTGTTGAGCAAATGTATTTTTAACAGGAATCGTACATATATTAATAAGAGGTAATGAGGCTGTTTCGTCGTGGTATGAGACTCATCAGCAGTGCGAATCCACGAATCCTGCGCCCCGGAACCTTCGGTCTTGCGCGGAAACGCCTAACCTCTGAACCACTGAGCCGGCGCAATCCTCTCCATTTGTCTTTAGTAGTTACTACCTACATCCGACAGGGTTGGACCCCACTGGTCAAGTCTTTTCACTAGAACTCCGAGAATTTCCTCACGAAGCTAGTCACTAGTTGTCAGTTATTTTAACAGACTCATTTTTTATTGTTCTTTGTATATAGGAAGCTGATATGGCTGTGGCCGGATTTACAATAACATATGAACGTGAAAAACTTGTTGATTTTAGTACACCATGGATGACTTTAGGTGGGAGTATTTTATTTACAAGACCGAAAAGTCAGAAACCATCACTGTTTTCATTTCTTCAACCACTTTCACCACAAGTAAGTTAGTTTACCAAGTTGCATAATTAAGTTATTGAGTACAACCTTAATTTATAGTAATTTTATTTTCTTTCTGATAAAAAATAATTGTTCACTAAATATGTCAGAATTTATTTTTGCTTATTCTTTCATTCCATTGTTATCTTTGTAGTTTCCTTCATACTTCTGACGTTTCCCTTAAAGCATTTATTCAGTCTTCAAGTTCTTTGATCTGGAATCAACAAAAAAGTTACAATTTATTAGGTATTCACTTAACACGAAACCTAGGGATGGAGGTAGAAGTAAATAACATCGAATTTATGGGAAATGGGGCTGACCTTGGAAGAAAATAAATAGTCATATGCATTTATTCTCATAGTGAAATGAAATGATGTACTTCATTTGAATTGTGGCACGGACTGATACTAAAAGCACACATTTCGTCCCATCCGACACCTGTCATCAGGATGTTCCTGAGTCTCAATGTTGATGTTTACAGTGGAATGACGCACTTTCTACTCTGCAGCTGAGTTTGATTAGTTAACATGTTCAACGAGTATAAACTTATTAGTAAATGTTTGTATTGTGGTGCGTAAGATTCGATTTCGGGCTGACTATTTATGTAGTGTGCAAGCTGTCACTAGCTTCTTGTGACGGTTGATATCCAACGTGTTCTTAAACTTCGTAATTCACTCGTCTAGGCAATCGTCACTAAGTAGCGCCTGATGGTTGTAAATCAGGTGAACACGAAGTGTTGATTATGTTTATTTTTGACACATCACAAATGGACCAACAGACTACAAGCACATAGATCAGGGCAAGCACACTAACGAGTGAATCGGTGAATGAAGTGAAGTGGAGAAGGCTAGTGAGCTAACTCGTATAGATAAAGCATGACTAAGAATTTACAGTCAGACAAAAATAAGACAGACCTGTAACAAGCGAGATCGGTATGAATACACATGAATAAAAGTGACGAATGATTGACAAGGTCAAAAGACAAGTGAGACGAGTCATGTGAGCTTGAGATTGAATGACTCACTACAGCATCTTTCCGGTATTGTCATATAAGATTGAAATTAATCAGTCTCACTCCAACTTGACCAAGGTATATGACCGTATGGATACAAAGAGATAGGTTGTTCCGGATGCAAATATGTGAGTGAACATTGATCAACTGAAGTCCAAAATATCAACAACAGAAAAGTACAAAGCTTTGCAAAGAGACAGCTTATTACCTAACCATTCAAAGTTGATCACTACTAAGTTACTATTAGAATACTCATAGCGAGTCAGTATGAACTATTGTGGACTTTGTTTAAAAAGACGGTTTTATATCAGTCAACTAACATCTATTATACTGCATTAATATTACTTTGGATTGGACGGTTTTAATTATCAGGTTTATTAACTTGTCGAACCCTGCTTGCTGATATTATTCATGTAAAAATTCGTAATAGTAAACAGCCTTAATTGATATGGATATGCTGAATGTGTGCTGAAAGTATATTTACTTATTATCTTCTATAGTTAATCCCATCCAGTTTGCGTCTTCAAGCTTTTGTTGATTTTCAGGTATGGTTATACGTGGGTTTTACCTATTTAGCTGTATGCTTGTGCTTATTTGTTGCTGCTCGTCTTTCTCCACATGAGTGGACAGCAACTCATCCTTGCGAAGAAGGTGGCGATACAAGAAAAAACCAGTTCACATTATTAAACAGCTTCTACTATAATGTGTCGGCTTTACTAAATCAAGGTATAGTGTTTTATTATGTGGGATATCTTTCAATAATTTCGTTTTATCATTTGAAAATTAGTGGTAAAAATAAAATTTGAAGGTTTCAACGTTCAGACAAATTCGCTTGGAATTCTCTATTTGGTAAATTCTTAACTGTAACAGTTTTATGGTAAACAAAAGTTGATTACAGTCATTTCATTGTAACTTGACAGACTAATACAATCATCTGATTGGTGTCCAAAGATGGCTTCAAACAGTTTGTAACTGACACGATGTCATCTTAAAAATGAGCACTTCTAACCATTAAGCTGCGATCTAATGAGTTACTTTCCTAACGTCAGTCAGTTCATGAAACTGTGCTACTATTGTTAATCACCAATGGTGATATCTGTCACAGTTCCATGTCAAACCAATTTAGAGGTCTGAAAGTTCTAAGTGTAATCCCTCATTGGTTGCGGATGCATCCCACTTAGAAGTCCCATTTTAGGATGAAACGCTATCCAACGCTTTTGAATTTATTATGATTGTTTAACAATATTCATGCCATGAAATCAAGTTTCACATAACTAAATGGTAGTTGCACAGAGCTTTATACCATTTTCGCTTACACATTTAATAAAGAAGACAGATCGAATTGTTGTCAGATATTTACTTATGACTAAGGACCGCTAGTTTCAGATTTGCTAGAAGTATCAGTCAATTAATTCTGAAATCTGGAATGTTTTCCTTCCATTTTTATGATGACGAGTGAGTGGAAATGCCACGTACAAAAATGAAAGCGTTTTATTTAATTTAATTTATCCTTTTTGTCACTAAAATCTAGGAACTGAACTGGCGCCACACGCTACATCAACACGATTGTTAACGGGAGTTTGGTGGTTTTTCGCTTTAATTATTATTGCTACATACACAGCTAATCTAGCTGCATTTTTAACAGTTGAAAATATGAAATCACCGATTGAAAGTGCTGAAGATTTAGCAAATCAGGAAAAAATTAAATATGGAACCTTAAAAAGTGGATCAAGTCGTGATTTTTTCAGAGTAAGCTAAATTTGCTACTAGTTGTCTAGAAATGAGAAATTTTATTTATGTTACCGAACAACGAATAACCAGTAAACGACACAGATAAAGCTTTGTTACATAGATTTATATAATAATAAGTTTGAAGATAACATGATGTACCATTTCACAGTTATATTATATCCTTCAATACTTGTAATGGAAACTCTTCAAAAATATGTCGCCCGTAAATGTAATACGACGTCAACTCAGTCGTCGCCAAACAAAGCTAAGAACTATTAGATTTAATATACTTGTCGGTTCTTTGTAAGAATTTGTTTAATTTTTGTGCATAGTTTGTCTCATTAGTGATGTCATTGAAAACTAGGTTGGAAAAGAGTGTTGTCTTGGTATAGTACAAAACGTCTCGTCCAGGGCTACCAAGTTTTGTGGTCAGCGCTTAACCGTTGTTAAACGTATGAGAAATACATTTCAAAAATCACCCATTACCTTTAGATGTTTGTATGAAGTTAACTCATTATTGAATTTATTATCACTTAAGTATATTTGTGACTTGACAATAGTTTATTCAATATAATTATTCGTTAACTTTTAAATAACTAAGACACAGTCAGCAGAGTACGCTGAGCCTAGGTTTCACAAAAATTGTAACATATCAACAAGGTGACCTTTAACCCTATGGGAACTGATCTACTTTGTTCAGCTTCACAATTTAAGGCATTACTGATGCGCTACTCAAATATTTCTACATCTTTATCCACAAACTCTTACGGATGAAAAAATATAATTTATTGGATTGAAATTTTAATCGAGTAATTTTGGCTTGCAATGAATGAAAACCTGGGGTACTCTACTTTACAACATGACAGGTTTAAGGAGAATGATCCTTGTACTACTCTGTTTCAAAATGCTTATATCACCTCTAAAATATTCGTCTTATCTTAGTTGATGACTTTCTTTGAGAAGTATCTAGTAAATCAGTGTACACATTACGTTTTCTTATAAATAGACCTCATCCCTACCAACATTTAAGAAAATGGGTGAATTCATGGACAAATATCCTGATGCAACTGTATCAACCACTCAAGAGGGAATTGAACGTGTTCTTCAAGGAAATTATGCCTTCATTTTAGAATCGACCTGGAATGAATACTATGCACAAAGGGATTGTCGTCTAACGCAAGTTGGAACGCTGCTTGATTCTAAAGGTTACGGAATCGGATTTCCACAAGGTGAGCATTTCGGAGCCTGTTATTGACATTTCTTTACCCTTGTCTGAAAGTTATGCCAAGTGGAGAATAAAATATGTTCTGTGTGTAGGGGTACTCTGGATTACATTTTTGTGCTTTTTAAATGCGAAAAATACTCGCTTGGTGAAGGGTGTAGTTAATGTTATACAAATCCTCGATTAGATTTTTAAATGCATTGACTGAAGCATTGTCAAACAGTTTATGTCAAACTTATTAGGAACAACGTAAGAATGGAAACTTTTGAGTTGCTACTAGAATGGCGAGGACCTCGAACTCCATAGACGTTTCAGTTAGGCTATTGGTTTTCCAGAGAAATACTAGTGGTATTTTTCAACACTCAAAATGCCTTCGAATTGTTCTGAACAAAAACACTTTTGAATTACCTATCAGAGAAAGAGTTGTCTAAAATTTACTTAAATATTTCTTAAGGAGTTTGCAGAGCATTTTTGTAATATTATTTGAAACCGATAATAAAATATGGTACTTTCGATCCAACTGATAGTGTTGTACCAAATATATTATTAAACCTCGAGTTTAACAAGACAATATGTTTTAATTTAATCCATTTATCTGAAATTAGAAAACTGTTCCCTCTACTCATGATATTCTACCCACTTACACACAAGGTATTGTTTTTTAATACTGAACGTAAAGAACAATGATTACTAGCATATCAAAAGATAGTTGTGTTAAGATGATTTTGCTATCACATTATGATATTCTTAATAAACCCTCAAAGATTACGCACTCAAGTTGATTTCAGCATTGGAATGAATGGCTTAGATTAGAACAGTGTAATTCACAATCACAGATTTGGATGGTAATGAGTAATCAATTACGTTCTCATTATGTTCTCGTTTGAAACACTTTCCTCAAGACTCATTTTCGATAGTATTATATTATCACCCTTTTTCCTTACTTACCAGTCTAAAACGTCTTCTTCCTTACAAATAAATAAATAAATGAAACCATTTTATCAGTGTTAAAAGAAAGTTAGGTATGTAAGTATGAGAGTTTTTTCATCTCAAACTCTGTGCAAATATGATGTAATGTGGCATTTATGGTTAGCGTTTTTTTGGCAAGTTAGTTTTTGACGGAATGGGGTCGCCAACCCCATGTCCAACCCTCCAAGGGCATTTCCTCATACAGATTGCTATATTTACTAGAATTTCTATTTGGTCGTTATGACAATGTCATCTGTACATAATGCGAAACCAGCACATCTTTAAACATATTTTCTAAATGCTCTCGTCTGATTTAGAAAGAATTAGCGGCTGGAAACAACAGAAATAGATATTTCCCGACTCTGCATAACTCAATCTTTAGATTCTTAATTCTTCTCTTATAGATTAAATGATTAAAGGTATTGACGTAATGTTTCTTACCTCCAAACGAACTAAACTGAGCACAAATATTACTGATCACTACTTTAAAACTCGACTCTAATACAGTTTAATAATGAAAATTATATTGATGATGCTGATGTTTATTGTTAAAATCTACCACCACACAATTTCATTGCTACTCACATGTTAAACACGTAACAATCAAATCATACATTTGAATAGCATTTACTCGAATGTCGATTCAGCGACTAAGAGTTTGGAAATTTGAAAATGTATTATCATCTCACAATTTTAATGTTTGTGAAACGCATTACACTAACACTATGAAATCATTAGTTATAAACTAATAAACTTTTATTTTTCAACTTCAGACAGCTGTTTGGCGCGGAATGTGGAAGGAATTAAAATTCGCTACAAGATGTTTAACGACATCGCGTCGACTGAGATCAGACATTCCTAAATTATCTAGATCCCGTTCAAGTAATCGACTTATTTCATCTGTGCCAAATAATTTAAGCGCAATCAATAATTCACCAAATTCATTTGGTTTCGGTGAAAATCATAATAATATAAAGCTGAATAGTAATGCTAATGTTAACTCAAATATTCATATCGGTGGAACGAATTTAAAAATAGACCAAGACACATCTACAGATCAGTTACTGATTTCCGAATCCAGACCCTTCACCTATGAACAGCAGAATCAGCAAAATCAAGAGGTACCTTTTCGAACAGATCAGAAAAGTACAATTCTACAATGTCCTAGTTCATTTGATCAAAGTGATGCATCCGCAGGAATATCAAGTGATCCGCATTCTCAAAGTTTCAACACTCGTCAACAGCAACAACAACAACAACATCACCTACCATATAATATCCAGTCATATCAACAATTACAACATCATCCTTATATACATAATGAAACTGAGCGCTTCAAGATGCCATCAAGTGGAGTTCGTTCAAATTTCAACGTTGGAACAGCAAATATGAATGGAGATTCCGAACTATGGCAAATTAATTAATTAAAAATCATTTACACTTGAAAGGGGATTATTTAGAATACAACTTTTAAATATGTTATATAAACTGTTTAGTTTATGCCTTAATAGAAATCTGAATTACAGTATGGCTTGAAATAATTTATGCTGCATAAAAGAACGTAATAATTAGTTGAAATTTTCCTTTCACTTCCATACAAAATGTTAGCAATGATTTAATAATGTAAACTATCTTGTTTTTTCCATAAAGTTGGATTATGAGAAATAGTTGAATTGAATTGAGTTGATCACTTGAAAACTGTTTATTATATGAAGTGACAGCAAACAGGTTATGAATAAGACAAAGTTTGATTTCTAGAAATAAAATCTGTAAATATCACTGACAGACCAAATCAAACTGTGCATATAATTTACGCTATGGACAGATGATATTGATCAACAAATTACTGATTGTCGTAAACATTAACTTTTTTTCAGACGTAATTAAAAGTCAGGCAAAAGTGACTTACGGCTCATAAAATGCTATTAAACATAATGTATTAAGGTTCCGGTTTGATTACGATTATTATTTTTATTTCAAATAATAAAAGCTAGTCTTATTCTTCCAATAAATTCTCATCGGGTCCAACAGTTGTAAATTTAAATTATTGATCAAAGTGAAATATTCAAGTTTCTACCTAATTCATCTCCGAAGTGAATTTAGGGTTAACATTAGAATAAGTTTGTGAGTTAACGTCAGTGAATTTTGCATGCAATTATAGTTCAATTGCAAATCTAAGATTAAAAATTGTGATAATTGTAAGTAACATAATGGGATAGAAAATAAACAGTACAAATACGATCAATTATTCATGAAATTATATGAATTTAGCAAGATTGAATAAATATCAAGCGAATAATTCTTATGTTCAAGGTAACATAATAATAACGATCGGATCAAATTAACTTAATTCACAGAAATACGAATGTTAAGTATTTACAATAATCGAATTGACTCATCTCATTATTGGCTTATTTGGTCTGAGGCCAGCTGAGTTTGAGGGAAAAAAATAACCAAGTTTATTTTGGGTGCATAGATTTGAAAATGCCTTACTATTCATCTTAGTAGTATTCAAAGAACTAGATGAGCAAAATTACAACTACCAAACATACAAGCACATTGTTTAATGCATTAAAGACAACTCTCCAACTGTTTTATAATATTAACAAAAGTAAGCCTAATAAACTCAAAAATGTAACTCTATCCTCCTACTTTCGTTTAAGTAGATTATAAATTTACTAGTTAGTCTATGAGAATACAATTGTTTCTTACAGTAAGTCTCATTTTTTTCTGTTTTTAGTTACTGCTTTCAGAATACATACACACTGAATTGAAAAAAGTAATACTTCGACTTGATATAATTAATGCCACACTATGTTGAATGAACTAAAGTACTAAAAACGTTTGTACAGCTGTTTCTTATACTGTCCGTTACTTGGTACATAAACGGTTATTGGTCAATTCTGTAACATTACATAGTTATGAAAAGTACAAACTAGAATTCAAAAATAATTTACACTAGAAATTGCAATTTTGTAGAAGAACCACCAAGAACTACTTAGCATTTTGCAGCCTTCACGAGTTAGCTCATTCATGAACACTCTCATACACGCTCATTTATGTTAACATCCTGGATTGTTTGGAAACTGGAACACAGACCAATGGATTAGATTTTGGCGATGCATGTATCCAACGCTGAATGACTTCTCAATTTGATGTAAATAGCGTAACAAGAAATCCAAACTTTTTATATCGTACAACATTGTCCTTTTCTACATTGAAATAAATAAGGTTATCATTCCCTTAAATTTTATTACATTTCCATTTTTTAAAAGTAAATAAAACAAACGAATGCATTTACTTAAAATCTAATGGAAATTTTCAGCATTCTTGAATTAAGTGGCCTTTTTATTATTGAATATATATTCATGAAAAAACAATACATTTCCTAGTTTAAAACATTTTTTTTTATACCTACTGGCTAAAATGCGATATTCTTCTATAAATTCGAATATATCAACAGCCAACAATATGAACAATTATTAAAATAAACCAACAAGATAATGACCCAAAAAAATTGTCATTATCAAATATCACGGAATTAAGAGTTTAGTTTCACAGAAAAGAAGGAAAGAACAAGCGTTCTACTCACATTCCTTGTTAATTATAATTTACAAATCATAAATAAACAAGAATTTAGTTTCCTAACCATAATTTTTTCAACTTTTCTTCAAAACACTAATCCGTATGATAATGAGCAGGATTAGTAGCTGAATCACAAATATTCCTATTAGAATAATCATATCCTGTTTTCGTTTTAAAACAACGCAATTATGTACAATTCGTCCATTGGATTCACAGATAGAATATTTATGCAAATATTTTTAATTACATTTTCCGTATAACGAATTCCAGCAAAACTTCCATTCACACATATTTATTTAAGTTTTTGGAGTATTATTCAAAATGGTATTCAGGGAAACAGCTAGATTATGACACCAAGAAATTTGGTATTAAGTAACTTCTAATTTAATCTTTAATTCATCAAAATCAGTTCATTTTGTTGACTGTCTGTAAGTTGCATACGTTTTGAGCACAACTAATCAGTGTTTGTTTATCTCCTTACATTTATGATATTCGTCGGTGGAGTGGCCTAGCATCCATTTGACTTCTTGTTGACAGGTTTTTCAGTTAGTCAACAGTGTCTGCTCATTACGCGTAATTTAAATGTAATTTAAGTGGACCACTGAACTGAGTCAAACAATGTAGTGTTAGCTGTTTAAATTTATTGTAGACTTATTTTTCTTAGCGGATAATTGTTCGTAACAAACTCGAATGTCACTCAGTGTTTCACTGTAGTTATCAAACAGAGTTAATTGATTTAGTATTCTGATATTATTTAGACTGATTATCCACTAGTATAGATCATTACAGAGTATTGGATTATAACTGATCACTCGGTCCTTAACACTAGATACTGAATAACCGATTCAAATTTTGTATTCAAAGATGCTCCGTTTATTCCAGTTCTTGCAATTGGAAGATTTTGGAAATCGATTTAAATACTCCCGTGAATGATAGTGATTAAGTTACAAAAAAATGATCATAACCTTGCAAACAAATAATTTTACAGTTCGTCTATACTAATAAAGAGCAAAGATGAGTTATTTCTCAAATTTCAGTACAAGCATTTTATATATTGTGAACAGCAAATATATTTTACTTTATTTGCTTCAACGATCAGCTAATAATATTTTGAGTTGATTTCTTATGTTATGAAATACTGTGATGTATTCTGTAACTAATGGCAGTCTGACCAAGCATAAAAACTGATACTCACACCTAAAGTGCTTCAAATAGAATTTGTGACGTTGGTGCATGATGGTTAACATTTCTAAGTTTATACAATCTTATTCAGTTATAGAAATGGATATTTATTGCTTTCTAACTGGTTTTGATGGCAAATTATATTTTCAGTTTGAAATAATCAATATACTTTTCGTTATTTCATTTTTATCTTGTGAACTCCCAGTATTCTCATGTATCTGTCATTTGATATTTAGATAATGAAATATTTTTCTTGCTGAAGGATTTAAAATAAAACCCTATAGAATCATAAATTAAACTTTAGATAACCACATTATTAATGGGACGCAAGATAAACGAAGCAGTCCACATCTAACATATCCAGGTCCTATAATCCAACAAACTGTTTTTAGATGAGTTAATTTATGGATCGCAGTGATTAATAATGAAAGACTACAGTCTACTATTCATTCGTAATATGTTTAGTTAGGTTGCGATTCCTTTCTTACAATGGATTATGTCCAACATTTGGAAATTGATTAATATTTTGACGGAGTTGTTGAGTAATAACTAGTAACTCTGAAATACTTCTCAAGTAAAGCTAACAACTGAGTAATATTTCCCTGTTGTATTTCTTAAAAGTCATAGTAATCAAAATATGAATTCATCAAAAAGAAAGAAATTGATTTCATTAAAAGACATCGTTTTAATTGAAAATTTATTGAAGCTAATAAAAATGTTTTTATCAACATCATGTTGTCATAAAATATTATTTATGACAGTAGTAAAACTCCATGGAAAATAATCCTAGTAAAAATTATGCCAAAAATAAGTGAAAACTTTTCTCATTTCCAATGAGAATGTCGCTTCATTTTGTGCACTGAACACTAAACTATGATAGAATCATCACATTCGGTCAGTGTGGTTTGCGTTCTGCATTGTATTTGTTTCAACCAATATATGGTATATTGCAATTATGATGAGAAAAATCTATATTTGCTGCTGACTAGGTCGTCACCTTTCTCACTGTAGTTGGATGACAGTTTATTACTTAGATATTGAATTGTTATTTTTAAAGTTAAATATGATTTGTCTTTTATTATTAATTTTCCAGTCGACTAATAAGAACGGATTATTTATTCTGTAACCAACATCAGTTCTGTCACGATCTACGATACAGAACATCATACAAACTTAACTTATTTCGACCGTTGCTTTACCTGAAACATCCAGTGTAGCTATCTTTATATCCATAGAATCTCGATAATTTACTCGCAAAATAATTACTCTGTAGAGAAGATTTATAGTGCGATTGTATCACTAAGGACGGAGTTACTGAAGCTAGAAGTAGGAGTTTCTTCTTACGATTGGCGGTATTAGTTGCCAAGAATAGCTAATTAAGTATTTCAAAGAAGAACATCAGATTTAGTTTCAGGAAAGAATGAAAACAAGTAAGCAGAGGGTTTCTGATCCCGTAAGATGTGACTCTCCCCATAAAAAGCTGCTGATTCAGCGTGTCGAAAGCTCTAGAAAAGTCAAAGTATGTCTTTAAGACTAGATGTCTTCGGTTACGTTGAGTAAAGACTAGAATGAAAAGTCATATTGGCAGGTCATACAAGATCGAAACTGATAAGTTTCTCAGTGGGTAAACAGTTGGGAAGTTCGTCACAAACAATTTTTTCAATCTCCTAGTGATAACTGGATCAATATTTATGGGCCTATAATTTCTAATCCCGTACTTATTTCCCGACTTGTAGCGTGATACGATGTATGAGATTTTCCAACATTAAGGGTAAGTACCAATCTTCAGAGAGAGAGAGAGAGAGAGAGAAAGCTTCATTTTTTTCTATATAAATGAAAGGAATAGAATTAATTGAGTTACTGGCTACACATATGACTTTTGAACTAGTGCTCGTTAATAACTCAATAGTGTTCGCAAGAAATACTACTGGAAAGGTTTGCAAGGTTTTCATGGTAGCTGATAAATGTGTCATTATGCAATATACAAGGTACATTTACACTTCGAGATTATCTAGAGTGTTTATTGAAAAGGAGTAAGTATTTTAGGTAAGTTTTTTAAGTTTTTTTCATTTGAGCTATCATTCAGTGGTAGCAACATCTCATTATGGCTTTTGATCTATTCTTTTCATTAATTTGGCTAAATATTATGGTTATCTGTACAGCTACCATAAAATCAGTTGGCTTAAAGTAAATTTTCTCCCGACATCTTAGTTTATCAAGATATTTAACTGGTAGAAGTAATTCGTTAGGCTTACTAGTCTGATATGTTTTAAGAGCTGCACAAGGTGCCATAACTAGACAAAAGAAAGTCAACATGAATTCATTGGTTCTTTTGAAATTAGGTAAATGTATCTCTCTTCCTTATACGAAACACGTAAATAGCAACTATTATTGTGCGAAAATGAACCGATCAAATGTATGTTGTAATTAAATTGTTACATAATGCTAAAAAGCAGTCACTATGATTTCTACACTGAAATATGCCGCAAAAAAATCTGAGGAAGAATGAAATCATCTTCGAAATTTACTATTTTACATGCAAATTGTAGCTTATTCACCCTTTGCCCTAACATTAAATCTTCATTAGCAACGAATATTCTTTTCATATAAATTTTTATTATAGCTTACTCTAATAAACAATAATATTTATAATATGTATGTGGAGAAGTGATGAAATAAACAAAATCAGTGATTTATGCTTTATTGACCACAACAAATTAGATTATATCACATCCGAATAAATAAAAAGTAAAAGATTTTGACTGATCAGTAACAATAGTTAGTAATGAGCACGACTATATGATCAAATATTTAAACACATGAAACAGAATTCGTCTAATCGTGTAGTGTAGTCAATCATCACATGAATTCATGTTAGAATTCCCAATCAATCTTAGTTGTGCAAGAACATCTATTTTAATACATTATCTTTCTTTGAAAGTTAAGAAACAACCAATCATTCGCTTGTTTCATAAAACTGGGTGACATATCTATGAAATGATGAAGCGAGAAGGAAATCTTTCAGTGCATGTGGTCGAACGTACCGAAACTGATAATTTCACTGAAGCGATTGATCAGTCTTTCTAAACGACTTTTTGAAACTAACAAATGTATAGTGCAATTGATAAGAAAAAAGTGATAGGCTAGTTGTAACTACACCAATGTATAAAATAGCTTATTTTCTAAGTTAGTTTTATGCCTGATTGATAGCGATCCCCAATGGTGGTTGATTTCACATTACTATTAT